CTCCACAAGCTGCACAACCAGCCTAAAGTACATTATTCCCATCATCAATATATATATATATATATATATGTGTGTGTGTGTGTGTGTGTGTGTGTGACACATGACACCGGCATCTTTCAATGAGCCAATGACTTCTGTTGGTTACCAAGCCTGAGCTGTTATCTTCTCACTTTTCCTGGCTTTCTTGTGGTTTTCTAAATTTAGTCCCCATTATGGAAGGCAATAGTTTATTGAGAATACCTTGCCCATTTTGGTCGTATAAATAGCAGCTTCCTTATGCTATATCTACAACTTCTCCTTTTCCTGAGATTTCAGATGTATAGTTTAGATTCTAGAGATAGATTTGATCTTAATCACTCTTGTTGCAGGTGATTGCACATGGTGAGCAAGTATTTCCGCGAGTGAAGGAGAAATGTTCTTCAAAAGGTTGGTTTGCCAGCGATGACATCAATTCACTTGAAGAGTTAATTGGTCGACTGAGAAGACTAAAGGAGAATGTTGGGTTTATCGCCAATCGTGTAACAGCAATTCAGGCGGGTCTTGACAGTTGGCAGTCTGAGCAGATAAATAAAAAACTTTACTACCTTTCCTTCCTCTCCATCGTCTTTCTTCCCTTGTCAGTAGTAACCGGAGGTGAACTTCTTAAGGAACTTCTTTCATAATTCCAAGTCATGTTTTATCATTTCATAGTTTGAGATCACTTATTTGTCTGCTATGCTAGTGTTTGGGATGAATGTTGGAGGAGTTCCTTGGACCAATCAAAGAGAACCTGAGTTGAAAGAGGGGTTCCGCAATGTTATGTTGCTCTGTGTGGCTCTGCTACTGTTGGTTCTCCTTTGCTTCCTTTTTCCCGCGCTTTATAGTCACGTAGTAGCTTGGAAGAGAAGGCGAGACATGAAAAGAAGTTGGTCTCTCAACCGGAGATCCTTCCTTAGAAGAAGTACAGGAGTTAGGGAAAGAAATGAAAAGGGAGGTTACTTGAGGCTATACTGAGATGAAATTGGTAGGCTAATCTGCTTCTTCCTTCATATCTTTCTCCAACATGAAACAGAATCAGTTTTGTTAAATAACTCTGGCTTGGTACAATTTCTTCTTTCAGGAAATATATGCACACTTCAAGCTGGTCATATCACCGCATGCGCAACATTGACATTTTAGTTGATGTGTCTTATTGTTCCCTGAAAACACAAATTCTCACACGATTCTTACTTAGAAGGATGATGGACGTAATAGTGAGTTGAAGGTGAGCCAATGTTTTACCAATTCCTTTCTTTGTTTTACGAAATCTTGTGCTTGTATAGAGAATTCTCTTTTCCAATTGTTCCAGAAGTTCAGCTTTGCTGTTATTACAATGTGACAGTTCTTTTTTTTTCTTTTTTGTTCTAGTTCTAGATATTTGATGGATGAATATAGGAAGCTAAATCACGAAAACAGGTACTAGAGGTAGCACTCTAAAAATGAAAACGAAATGGAGGAATTTACATAGAATACAACATTTTAATTTTAAAGACTTATTTATATTTTCTACAACTGCTTTTACAAAATTACTTTTAGTACAATTTATTTTAAAATCTTACCTTTTTAATTAAATTATGTACAACTTTTCATATCCTAAAATCTCTCCCTTGAGATTCCCTCCCAGTTAAAAGATTTCTCTTTCTCATTCTCTCTCACCTAAAGTATCTATCACTATCAATTTCCCCCAAATTCCTTCAGCAAAAGATATTACTGTATATCACACGCGTTTATCCCCTTTTCTTCGTCCCATATATTCTGTGTAGGTCAAAATGCATAAAAAAGGCTCAACTAGATCATCTCTCTGCATCATTTCCACCACAATTTCTCAAGCCGCCATCTTTTCACAAAAACAATCAGAAGAAGAGCAAAATCAAGGACAACCTCGAACTAGAAGGCAGAAGAGAAGTAGAAACATGAAAAAACATAGCAAAAATAAAGAGAAAAAGAGGATTTAATTGAGAAATCTACTTTCTTTTAATTTTTTACAGAACTGCATGTCAGTTATTCTGCCGTTTTCAATAGCAAGGTTTGAAAATTTAATTAATTTTAAGATTAAGTTAACTATCACATATACTATTGTATATCGTATACTTAATATATATATATATATATNATGGCCGAAGACCGAACGCAGCCATTCCGCTTGTCACCGGAAAAGATAACGTTCATAAAGGTGTGTTAAATGCTCTGCGCCTAGTAGCATTTAATAGGGAATATTCTGCAGCATTAAGAGCGACGGTCCGTTACAGAGAATTCGTCATTTATGTTCACCTTTATGTTTTCATCAATGACTCTCATAATTGACATTAAAGGAGGGCACGATCCTAGGACCTCCTTCCCTAGACATAACTATAAATAGTGAGCTCATTTATCATTGTAAAAGACTTGAATTTCCTGGCAAAACTTATACTCTATTCTATACAAAGCTTTATACAATTTTACTTTCTTGCTTTTTGATCTCATCATCGCTGTGCCCGAAAAAACTGTTCTCAGAATTGTCATCTATGCTGTTTTCATCTATATTTCAAGGCTAAGTATTATACATTTCTTCGATTATTGTATTATTTCAGGATCAAATTAGTTCACTTGTCTAGAAATCACGTATAAATTCAACGGTACCATTTTACGGGTAAACAGTTTAGTGCCCACCTTGGGGCCTAGACAGCCGTGCAATTAAATTAATCCTTGTCTTTTTTACTAACGCGATTTGATTATTTTTGTCTTAGAAAAAATAAAAAAAGGTAGATAACACTGTTAACAACACGTACAACCCCGAAATTCGAGGGGATCAACCTCATTTCGAGGATTCAATCAGTAACACCCGCAATGAGGAGAACGACGCCACACTGGTGCATGATTAGGACAGGTTCGGAATACAACTCCCGATGATGCTGATGAGGAACATGTTGTGGATGTGGTGAGGATCCTGCAAGAGCAACATGCAATCATTTTAGGCAATCTCACGTGGCAGGATCAGGTTATGATGGAACTGAAGCAGGCGCTATCGGGGGCTTCGAATAATGTAAACAGACGAGATCCAATTCCTCCCGATGTTCCCGCAAACCAAACAACACAGAGAATCAATAACAACACTCCCAGGGGCGAAGTTGGCTCCGACGGGGTTGGGGGGAGCAGATCCGGTCTCAACAACGAGAACGACCCGTTCAAGAATGAACTTTTACGGTTCATGAAGGAAGTAAACGCCTGCATGGACCAAATCCCGGAGGCGCCACCAGTATTGAAAGGCCCAGACTCGAAGAAGTATATTCAATTACCGTACAAGCCGAGTGCGGCACCAGAACTAATCCCGAAGCGGTTCAAGATGCCTGAAATTCCGAAGTATGACGGGACTTCAGACCCATAGGAGCATATTACCACCTACACAACGGCGGTAAAAGGGAATGATCTAGCTCCTCACGAAATTGAATCTGTGCTGCTAAAGAAATTTGGAGAAACTCTCACGAGGGGAGCCCTAACGTGGTATTCATTATTACACGAGCATTCCATAGATTCCTTTGAGATGCTCGCAGATTCTTTCATCAAGGCTCATGCCGGGGCTAGAAAAGTGCAATCCCGAAAGACCGATATATTCAGGATCGCACAGGGAGAATCCGAATTATTACGAGAGTTCGTTACCCGATTCCAGAAAGAAAGAATGTTGCTCCTGACTGTCCCGGATGAATGGGCAGCTGAAGCATTCACCAAAGGATTAAGCCCGAGAAGCTCAGACGCTTCCCGGAAGCTGAAGAAGAGCCTGCTTGAATTTCAAGGAACAACTTGGGCAGATGTACACAATCAGTACGAGTCAAAGATAAAGATCGAGGATGCCCAGGTCGGTTCTACATCATCGGCCAAAGGACGGGAGAAGAGCAGGCAAGCCAATTTCTTGGCTAAGGGTAACTTCTTGCTCTCTTTGCTGCAAACGAGCCACCAAAACAACGGCCTCAATAGCTTTGTTTTCCAATTACAAGAGGTGGAGAACAGTTTGTTCTCGTTCCACTAAAAGCTGATTCCATTCAGAAGTGAGTTCTTCCTTTTCACGAATCAACCTTTGAAGGCCCTCAGAAGCAAGAAAGTTGGCCTACAAGACAAGAAGAAGTAAAACTTATAATACATTCATACAAAAGTATAAGAAATAATAAAGGAAGAGAATGACGTACCACTACAGCATTGTGCATGGTATTGTTCAACAAGCACTCTCCCGAGAGTGCCTGAATCTTTTCCCAGTCTTTTTCTGAAGCCAAAGGCTTTAGATAATTAGCAAGCTCCACCGGCCGGGATAGCAAGTTGCATCCGGTAGAGACTGAAAGAGTAACGTTCCTCCTCCTTTGTGGATCTTCAGAAGGGGCAACGTAATTTTGCCCCAAATTCCCATGAACTGGGGACTGTGGAAGAGGAACACCTTCTTCATGGTCAGATGCGGCCGATGGAGGAGATATAACAACTGTTGATGGAAGAGTGGATGAAGATGGAAGTGATGTAGCTGTTGCTGGTATTGGTGAAGGTGGAGATGAAGCTGATGGAGTTGAAGAGTGAGAAATAGCTGCATCAAATGCAGTGCTGGCTGTTGGATGCTCTCCAACCAAAGACGGCAAGGACCCGGTACTCAGCCCCGCAACACCGGTTACAACAATTGGGGCCCGAAAATGGGAGTCGGCATTTTCTACCAAATCAGATTCTCCCCAAAGTGCCGAGACATCGTCTTCAGTTGGCGTAATTATCTCAACAGGTCGAGCATCCTGTTGAGATGATGAGGATCGTCGCCTTATATGTAAAGAAGCTCCATCATCAACAACTTCTTCATCGTCATCAATCATCACGGTGTCTATGACCGGCCCGGAAGGAGGACCAGTCATCATCGCCACCAGAGATGACTCAGGGGCATCAGTCTTTGCTTTCTTATTCTTTCCCCTGGCGGTAGAGGAATGTCTTTTTTTTGGTTGCTCATCCTCCGGCCGGGGACTCCGTAAGGAAGTGTTTGCGCTCAAAATAGGCCCGGAGATACATGTTCGAGTAAGTGCTTCCTGAAGCAGCCTCGCTGCATCGGCAGGATCAGCCAAAACGTCCTCCTCGGGGACAACAACAGAGCCCGCAAGTAGACCTAATTTCATGAACAAGTCAGAAGGGTTCATCCAAGTTTTCCATATACAAAAAATTGGAAGCAAGGTAAATTAAAATTACCATGATTTTTGGCCTTCCACCCATATTTAAGAGCAAGTTCTTTCCACAAACGAGTTTCGGGAGTTGTGACATCCAACATCTTCTGAACCCACCAGTCCAAACCTTCCACCACCGGTGCGATCCATTGAGTTGGTGAAACATGCGAAGGGTGAAGAGTTGATACGACCATAAAGGACTATCTAGTAAAAAGAAATACAAAACAAAGAACTTACGAGTGCAGTTCTAAGCAACCGGAAAGGATGAAGCCGTTGTCAGAATGATGTCGTTGGTGGCAACCACAATGAACCGTTCCATCCACCCACGGTCATTGTCATCATCCATGCTAGACAACGGAGTATGGTGGCCACGCTTGCAGAGGTTACCATTCCCCCGCGAAAGATTTTGGGAGAATAGAGATTCATCATATGAGCTAAGGTTAGCTCATCTCCAGTTTCCTAGCACAAGCGTCGAAGACAGGCGACCGTCCTCCACACTGAAGGACTTACCTGTGCCAAACACACTTGGTAGCGAAGGCAAAACTCCGCAATCACGGAATCAAGCTCTCCACTCAAAGAAAATGTATCCAAAGTAAAGAGATACACGTAAAAGTATGTAAAGCCATCCTTGGGAAGGTCACTCGCTCCGATAGATCAGGAGCGATGATATCCAACTCATGGCAGCGACAATCTTCCTTCACAGCAGGAATACTGGAAGGACGAATGGAAGAAGGGTACTTACTAACAATCCATGTATGAGGGTTAGCAGTAGGGAATTTCTCTTCAAGGTCCTTTGTGGTACTGAGTTTTCTTGGGATGATGGAACCTAC